TTTATTTAGGTACTTTGCCACTTATAAAAAATATTAAAATAAATTAAACGAAAAAAGTATTTTTTCTACAAAACTGTTAAAAGTGGGCTTTTTAATTGTCATTTTTGATGTTAAAAATGTCATTTTTTGACACGCGTGTTAAAAGTAAGTTACTTTTAACACTAGTGTTAAAAGTACTGGTTGCTACGAAAATTTTGGTTCATAAACACTGCGATCTGTGTGGTATTTTTTGATTTCTTATTTTTATTGAGTTTAAAGTTCTTCCGATTGTTTTGTAGAAAAAATAGTGTATGATATACGTGTTAAAAGTGATTTTATTTTGTTCGTGAAGTTAAAAAACTCGCTACGCTCGTTTTTTAATCATGTTCACTCACAAAATAAAATGCCACTTTTAACACTTGTATCATAAATAACTATTTTGTAATATTTGAAATAGTTTTTTAAAAATAGGTACCTGACAATGGGACAATCTTCCACAATTTTTGCCTCTAGTTCTTCTTGCCCATTTCTAAGTTGAGAAAACTGTATAGGTATTCCGTTTGGCAATAAGGTTATTCTTACATTCCCTTTACCAATATATTTGGTTTCGAAATGGTGTTCACAAAGCCTATAATTATAACAATAATAATTACCTTTATAATCCTTATGCAATCTCAAAAGGGTTAATCCTTCACCAGTTTTGGATGAACGATCGCGAAAAGCACAATAATAACCATACATTTTACTGATTTCAAGTTGATTCTAAATGAAAACGAAATGCAATACACCATCAATTAACGTTATACAACACAAGTGTCCACCGCCAAGAAACTATTTACTCGTTTTTCCTATTTATATTTGGCAGCTCTGACAGCCACTGACAATTGACAACAACACAACCCAATTTGCGCATGCGCATACGAAAACTGTTAACGCAGAAAGCCTTGCTGTCGCTTCTCGTTGGTACAGTGTTCTCTGACTGTATCTTGGAATCGAAGCAAATTTCAACCTACGTTTATATGAACTCTTTTTCACAAAATAACTTCGGCAACCGCCCACTAAAATATTTCGCACTTATTTACAAACATCCTGTATATGTGTTATTGTAATATTTTATTGCATGCTCAAAATGTACTTAATAAATATTACACTAATTTATTGACAAATGTCCCAGGAAAGGGAAAAAATATATTCATTTTGCAATTAGCAATTGATATTTTTCAGCGAAATTTCATACAAATCCGATTGAGAGGNATGCCACTTTTAACACTTGTATCATAAATAACTATTTTGTAATATTTGAAATAGTTTTTTAAAAATAGGTACCTGACAATGGGACAATCTTCCACAATTATTGCCTCTAGTTCTTCTTGCCCATTTCTAAGTTGAGAAAACTGTATAGGTATTCCGTTTGGCAATAAGGTTATTCTTACATTCCCTTTACCAATATATTTGGTTTGGAAATGGTGTTCACAAAGCCTATAATTATAACAATAATAATTACCTTTCTAATCCTTATGCAATCTCAAAAGGGTTAATCCTTCACCATTTTTGGATGAACGATCACGAAAAGCACAATAATAACCATACATTTTACTGATTTCATTTTGATTCTAAATGAAAACGAAATGCAATACAGCATCAATTAACGTTATACAACACAAGTGTCCACCGCCAAGAAACTATTTACTAATTACTCGTTTTTCCTATTTATATTTGGCAGCTCTGACAGCCATTGACAACTGACAACAACACAACCCAATTTGCGCATGCGCATACGAAAACTGTTAACGCAGAAAGCCTTGCTGTCGCTTCTCGTTGGTATAGTGTTCTCTGACTGCATCTTGGAATCGAAGCAAATTTCAACCTACATTTATATGAACTCTTTTTCACAAAATAACTTCGGCAACCGCCAACTAAAATATTTCGCACTTATTTACAAACATCCTGTATATGTGTTATTGTAATATTTTATTGCATGCTCAAAACGTACTTAATAAATATTACACTAATTTATTGACAAATGTCCCAGGAAAGGGAAAAAATATATTCATTTTGCAATTAGCAATTGATATTTTTCAGCGAAATTTCATACAAATCCGATTGAGAGGATACAGAATCAAATTTAAATAGAAAAAATCGCTAAGTTCTGTCAAATTTGATATCGAAAGAAGTACTGATTGTGAGAAAAAATTCAAATACTATGTAATACAACAGAATTTCTTAAAAATAAACAGAATTAAATTAAACTACAAATTTCTTCTACAGAGGTTATTATGTAATGAAAACAACTAACATTTTTTATCTAACAAAATTTTCGACATAAAATTAAAGAAAATGCTTCTAACCATGAACATACTGTGTACTTTCCAAAATTTTTATATGAAATTACGTACTAACATAATTTTAAAATCATCCAGTATTTGATTTTGACAAGCGGAAAACCTCTGTCTACATAAAAGTTTACTTACCTGTTGTATTAAATAATCAATCATACGAGGTCTGTTAGAAAAGTATCCGACCTTTGGCCGAAGAAAAAAAACTGGCATACCTGGAGCGTTGGAAACCTAATCACCATCGAAGTAGTCTCCAGGGGACTCCACACAATTCTCCCAGCGGTGCTGCCATTATTGAAAGCATTCCGAGAAGGCCTCTTTCAGAATAGAATTTAGCTCAGCTGTCGTTGCAGCCATAATGTCCCCTCTTGTCTGAAATCGCTTTCCTTTCAATGGCCTCTTGAGTTTGGAGAACAGCCAGAAGTCGCAGAGAGCCATATCAGGAGAGTAAGGAACCTGTCGAACCACAGGAGTCTGGTTTTTCACCAAAAAGTCTCAATCGAGTGCGAGGAATGTGCTGGAGAATACAAGCAGTCAGCATCACTTTGCGGGCCTTTTTGGTCTTGGTGACGTGGAATGCTTCCACTGTGACGACTGGAATTTAGTTTCCGGGTCGTACCCGTACACCCAAGACTCGTCACCAGTGATGATGGTGTTCATGAAGTCGGGGTCACTGTTTGTGTAATCCATCATGTCCTGTGAGACTTCAACACGAAGTTGCTTTTGCTCCGCCGTGAGCAGCTTCAGCACGAATTTCGCTGCAACTCTCTTCATGGACGAATCTTGGGTCATAATGGAATGTGCCGAAAAGTGCTCTTCCGCAATTTCTCGGATAGTCACACGACGGTCCCGCATCAATTCACTTTGGCAATGGCCTCGTCATTTCGGCATGTTCATGGCCGACCGGAGCGTGGCTCGCTCTCCACCGATGTGCAGCTGTCTTTAAACCGGTTGTACCACACCATAATCTGTGTGATGCCCATAGCATCATCACGAAAAGCCGTTTACATCTTCCGAATGGTTTCCACTTGGCAGTCGCCCAGTTTCTGGCAAAATTTTATGCAGTAGCGCTTGCAGTCGTTCCGTCATTTTTCTTGCGATAAAGAAACCGACGAGAGCACTACACACTACCTCACTCAAAAGCTGCTTGCCAGTGACTGACGCTATAGACAGATGGGAAAAAAACCACGTATGGGCACAAAGGTTCAAGGTAAGCTCATGCAAGGGCGCTTGATTTAAATCCGTCCGGTTTTCACAAAACAAAATAAGGTCGGATACTTCTCTAACAGACCTCGTATTTACTATTAGTAAATGATTCCTATACAAATATTTATAAAAATGTCTCCCATGGAAAAAATATTAAATTTAAAGGTGTGGCAATTGTCCAGATATGGATGATTGGATAAGCCATCGGCAAAAAACGTTATGGCAATTATCCAAAAAATGGCTTTATCTAGAGTAAAATAAAAAAATACCTACTGTCTTTAAGTCTTTCGTTTTCACCATCCTGCATCTTGACATGACAAGAAATACCTGTGTCTTTTATTCTATCATCCATTCTCAGCCAGTGTCAAAACGTTTAGTTGAATTTTGTTGTCAATATATATTCACTGAATATTATTTTAGGCCTGAGGAGGTTGGTAGAAGCGTGATCGAAATGCTAAGGGATGGTGAAAACGGCAGCGTTTGGGTGTCCGAAGCGTGCGAAACGTATAAAACAGTCATGCCCGACAGATCAACATTTAAGCCACCACCGCCATGTGGCGGGCATGGAAAGAAAAAGAAGGATAAGCACAAAAAGAAAGCCTCGCCGGAAGACAGAAAGGTCTGCAAAAACTATGATAGCAAAGACCAAGAGAAGAAAGCCCATAGCAAAAATGAGGATCAATGCAAAAAAGACCATAAACACGATGATACATGCAAAAAGGATGACGGCAAACACCAAGAGAAGAAAGTTCACAGCAAAGATGAGGATAAATGCAAAAAAGACCACAAACATAATGAAAAATGCAAAACTTAATGTTAGTCGTCGTATGTAATGGGTTGATCTTTTGTGAAGTACTCGATGTTATTAATGAAATTATAACTTCTCTGTTACAGTGATTTGCTGTTTTTTTTTACCACTACCAATTTTTCCTATGATTACAAACCAAAACTTTAAATAAACGCGACATTTTAAAATTATATTACAGTATCTGAAATGCCTGTTATACCACAGCATTATACATAATCTAATTATTTCATATCTCGTCTTCTGAACAATAACCTGCAAGAAGTTGTCATAAATTCAAGAGTTTATATAAGATGAATTTTTCGTATGAAACATGAATCCATTGTCTTTTGTGTCATACGATTTTTTTTAAATCTAATTTTGGCCATATCATTTATAAAAAATATTTTATATTGAAATTTTGTAAAACATGTTTTTGAGGATGTTATATACGTCGGTATTGTTAAAAGTCGCTGGGTACAACATTTTAGAATTCAACTTTTTTGAGATTGGTTTCCTGCGTTATATAGTCCATGCGGTAGAGCAGTAAAAGTAGCCTTTGGGGTTTGTGTTTGTAGTCATCTATTTTGTTATACAGAAAAATCCCAAATATTATGTAGAATAAGAATCCGAGTTTGCCTATTCCAAAAAACCATTGCTAAATTCAGGGGAACAACAAACATAAAAAAAACGAAAAATGACCCGTTTTTCGACATATTTTTCGCTGTAACATTGAAAGTAAACCCTAAATAAAAAAAGGTCATTCTTTATTTTTTGTTAATTTGACGATGTTCTATAAAGTTACAACAACTGCGAATCAAAAAAGTTGAATTTTGCATTAACAATGGGCGAAAAATAGTAAAAAATCATATGTATATTTGGAGCAATGTTTAAAATAAGTAAATATTTATAAATATTGATGAAATTTTGTGGTCAAATAGTAAAACATACCTATGTCAATTCTACCCTAAAAATTTTGCAACGATCGATAGCGTGGTTTTCGATTGACAGGATTGTTAATTAAGAGAATTTCAAAAACCTTATCGCGTACCGTGGGTTTAAATTAAGGTTTAGAAAGGGCACACAATTTTTTAGAGATACTTATTGTCATAATTAACAATTAGTCCAATTAGATTAGCTTTAAATCGCAACTTGGTCAACTTGCCTGAATTTTTTATATAAGTTAGTTTAGGGTATATAATAACAATAAGTGACAGTAATTTTTGTTTCAACCCTCGGCCAGGGGTGAAAAAAGATAAAATAAAGAGGTTTTTCAGTATAACTCAAAAGGGGTAAGAGCTAGAAAAAAAGTTTCTTGTAAAAGTTGTAGAGCATAAAATTCTACATGAAAATGGTATATTGACTTTTTTTATACCATTAAAATTAACAGAGTTAGGGTGGCTAGAAGTTAAGGGATGAATTCAGAAATTTAAAAAATCATAACAAGCAAAAAAATGAATGAATTTCATATTATTTTTTTTCAATCTACTCTAAAAAATGTAAACTTTCTGTTCAGTGAAATAGATATATTTTTTAATTTTTAATAAAAAAGTTAAAACAATTAAGAAAATTTTTTTAATCGTTAATTTTTATGATTTAACACTAAAACAATTTATTTCTATGCCATTCCATCGAATTATTAACATATTAACATTTTTTCAAAATCAATTTTAAACAAATTAAATTTGAAAAACTAAATTCTCAGTAAATGCCTATGTCAATACAACTATTTAGATACAAAAACAACTAATGATCAAAACACTACAACGCTTCTGAGCTTGGGAAAAATGAATTGAAAATAGCATCTTCTTAGATAACAAATTCCGCCAACGTCAAACCAATGAAGCTTTCGAGCTGAAATTTTTACAACTTATTAAGGGTGTAAAAAGCCTCAAAAATCCTGAATTAGAAGTGTCTGCGATGAAAATTGCATTAATTATTAGCAATTGAAAAAAGCGGCAATTTTCGACCATTTTTGAGCTCTTGTGCATAAACAAATTATCGGAATTTAATCGGACTTTTTTCATTTTATAGGCTTATTTAATACCTACCTTTTTTGTATAAACTTTTTTTCGCTATG